CTTATCCCGAAGTCTATTAACATATTGAATCATATAATAACCCCTAATATGAAGACGACAACGACCACAAGATGACCTAGTAGGCTTACCACATCCTGATTTCATGCAAGGCTGGCACTTTTTAGCTTTATAGTGCAATCAACAACCTTCAGATTGAGTATAAGCTTTATCACAAGTCTTACCAGAATTATGAAGATAATCACAAATAAAATCCGCTTTCATTTTTTTTATATATATAAATAATTTGAATTAAACAAATCTTTACACAATATAGTAATACATATACTTACACAATGAGTACACAAATTCAATTATCTAAAGCAAAACCAATCTCTCAAGAAATCAAGCATGCATTAATAAATGTAATCAAAGCAGAAATATATTATAGAAAGCCAAAGGATGGCAAATTCATGCAAAGTTATAAAAAGCGGATAATAAAATTATTTAGGCAGAAGATCCTAATGTATATATCCTAGAAAATGCAAAAAGATTGTTTCCAGATAAAGATAAAATCATAGTATTATGGATGACTATAAATCTTGGTATGAAAAAGATCCAAAAATTCTTAATACTGTAATAGATTTATATAAATTATACTATAAATTAGCCAAAGATTATTTCAATACTGAAGAATAAGTTAATAAAGATCTTGAAGATTTTCTTAATTACTAAGCACCCATTGAGGTGATAGCTGTGCTTCTTTAATAACCATCAATCTTTCTCTTACAAAAGATCACTTCGGACTATTACTTTTATCATCTTCCAGCCAGTATAAGACTGGCTGATTTTTTTGCACAAAAGATTCACGTATATGATAGACTTGAGGAGATCAAATCATATCTCTAGCACGTCTTCTTCCATCTTCTAACTCACCTAGTTTAAGTAAATATCTTACAAAAATATCATAAGTTAATCGCTTCTCATCAAATCCTATAGGCCCATTTCGAGACTTAGAAGATTTAGCATAAACATGCTTTAATATTCATGCATTAGCAGGAGAAATACCTAGAAGATGAGTCACAGAATTATCAAGATTCTCAAGAAAAATTGGAAGGTTTTTAACCCAAGCTCGACAACATTCTGATATAGGTAATCTCATATCAACAGCATCTTGAATAATAGATGACCATTCTTGTAATGTCTTATTAAACTTTTCAACAATACCTATACTTTCTTTAGAATTAGATATTAGAATATTGATACCATATTTATTCATTAATATAATAACATCACCCTGAAACTCAACTCCCTCATCCACCATAAGATCAAGTAAGTGGACATTTTTGAGAGTTAAAAAGTTTTTCAAGGTCTATAGCAACACTAGCAGAATTACGTTTAGTTAAGGGATAGGACCATTTTATACGAGTAGCAATATCTACATAATTAAACGCAAATTTATAAATTTTGTTTCTAATTTGATCATAAGACATATAGTATAAATCAGCTTGAATAACCCACATAGGTATAGTAATATTAATAAAAGATGCACTTGAAATATTTCTAGAATAAGGTTTATGAACCTAATGCACTACCGTAAAGCGTTCTGTATAGTACCCTCCTATATATAGTACCTTTCCCCCTTTTCAGACGGGCTAGAATATATAATATTTGGGGTATTATAAACCACGAATTTTGCTACTCGCTGTATAGTACCCGGGTACTAATATCGTAATATTAATAAATTGA